TGATCCCTAACCCAGTCCTCCTCAACCAGCGAAAACTCCTCTTTAATCTTGCTTTCCTTTGGGACCTCAGGGGACTGAGGCGCCTGAGGACAGTTTGCAACAACGTAGCAAGAGTCAAAGAAGGCATTCAGTAACACTGCCTTCTTTCTGTCCTCTGTCTCCAGGGTACCCACCTCATTCCCCAGAGGGCCTACATTGCCTCTAGTGTTAGTTTTGTCAGGAATGTATTTGAATAAGCCCTTTCTGCTGTCCTTGACTTCCCTCACAGTTTTAATTCCAAGGAGGCCTTAGCTTTTCTAATCGCCTCCCTACACTCTCCGACAGCAGTCCTATACTCCACTCAAGTGGCCAGCGATTTATATATAGTCTTCTCCCCCCTGAGTCTACCCAGCAGATCCCTGGTTAACCATGCAGGTCTCCTGGATCTCTTGATTTCCTGCCTGTTGGGATGCACTGATCCTGAGCCTGGAAGAGGTGGTCCTTGAATAGTGACCAACTCTCTTGGGCCCCTTTACCTTCCAGTTCCCTGTCCCATGGCGTATCCACTAGCAATTGCTTGAAAGAACCAAAATCAGCCCTTCTGAAGTCCAGTGCTGCGATCCTGCTAGGTATTTTATTTCTACCGCACAAGATCCTGAACTCCACCACCTCATGGTTGCTGCAGCCAAGATTGCCCTCAACCTTCACTGCTTCAAACAGACCTCACCTGTCGGTGAGCACAAGGTCCAGCAGCGCTCCTCTCCTGGTCAGCTCATTCACCATTTGCATCAAGAAGTTATCATCGATGTACTGGAGGAACCTCCTGGACTGAGGATGACTGGCTGTGTGGGCCTTCCAGCAAATGTCTGGGTAGTTGAAATCCCCCATGAGAACCAGGGCCTGTGATCCAGAGGCCACTGACAGCTGCCTGTAAAAGGCCTCATCAGCTTCCTCATCCTGATCAGGTGGTCTGTAACAGACACCCACCACAGTATCACCTACACTAGCCTGCCCCTTAATTCTTACCCACAAATAATCAACTTGCTCCTCATCTACCCCTGGATAGACCTCAATACATTCTAGTTGGTCTCTCATGTAAAGAGCAACTCCACCACCTCGTCTCAGCCTTAGGCTGTTTACACCTGTAAATTGGAAGAGGGGAGAAAAAAAAAGCTTTAAAGGAGCTACATGAAAAATGAGCACATGAAACTCAGATTATTTCTTCCAATTGACTGTGGCAAGGGAAAACAGGCTTGGGAATGATTATTGTTTTGGACAAAGCAAAAGTCAGAAGGTAGAAGACTCAAGCAAAGTACTCATTTTGTGCAGTTTTAAGCATGGCACTTACAGCATCCTTTGCTAATCTGGAGAACTGCATGTCAGTCATTATGCTGCTCCTGGATGCAAGTTGCTTCCATTTGTCTGCTCTGCACCACACCAGACAGACCTGGCAAGGCACAGCCAGTGCTCAAGTAGCTTCTAGAAATGCTTTCACCTGCCTTTTTCTGTATGATAAAACACACTGAGTGAGCTGTGTGGTCCTACCTCTACTTCCCCAAAGATAGAGTTTGTGGTGAAGTGCTAGTCCAATTCAAAAGTCAATTTTTGAAGTGTTTCTTTTATCAAGAACAAACTTGTTTGCTTTCTTCTAGCCAATAGTTCAATCCATTCATAATTTAGTCAGATAACACAGTGATCTGAAAACTCCCCGCTCTGGCTTCTCAGTAGCAGTAGACGTCTCCTTACCCAGCTGCTCAGCAAAAGTTTGCTCAACTTCCCAGCACTCATGTGTTGAAGAAAATAATCATTCAACTGTCACTACACCCTTGACCTCAGAAGGGACATGCTTTGTTTCGCAATGCAGCTCTACGTGACTTTGAGAAAAAACAAAAAGGCCTATGCAGCAGATGGGGACAAATCCTAGAAGAGGAAGAACCCAATGTCAGAGCTCCTGAGCTTTCCCAGGCTCTGCAATGTGTTCACAAAGCAGCTTGGCCACCGCTGTCAACACTAAGAACCTTGGAACATGTTGCTGGGTTTAATTCTTGATGGCTGCAATAAGGTGAGGTGTGCCCCCTTCCAGCCATAAGAAAGGAGCTGCCAGTCAGAGATACTACAGTTCGCTGAGGCAGCGAATATTAGGCTTATTTCCAGAGGAGATGGGCTAACGAGGTGCTAAGCAGCTCTACAAGGGGTAGTGACAGAGACCATACCGAGTTTCTCTTGTGTTGGGACCTTGATTGTTTTTTGTTTTGAGTGGCTGAATCATTGCTTGCCCAGGTGGTATTAAACCGTGGGTGAGCTGATAACGTTACAGCTACCACTGTGGAATTTAAAAGGGGGCTGCTCTTGCCAGAAGTTGTAGTTTGGGGGATTTGGATGGTGGTTATGTTGGAAACGAAGCTAAGTCAGTAAGTTCTTCAGGTGAGAGTTTGTTCTTAAGAAATGGCAGTATGCTTTCTTTGTGTTAGATAAACTTGAGTGAAATAATGGGTTTGTAAGTTCTATATTTAATATAAGACTTCTTAAAGGGGCTTTTGAATGTTTAGTTTATTTGCTTGTGTATTGTTTTTAAAAGCTTATATTTCTAAGGCACACAAAAAGCTCCTAAAAGAATGTTTTATTATATTTTGAAGTGTTTCAGTTTGATATTTGATTCAGTTCCTCTCCACTTCCGAGGAGAGCTTCTCATTACCTAAAAGTAACTAACGATTAAAACTTGAGAATGATTCTATATACAGAAACACAATATTCCTGTGTTTGTTTTCCAGTTGCTTTGTGTTATATATAGGTAGTATTCAGTGCTTGAGGCTTTACGTCAGTGATAAGTGATGTTAGAATGGATGCAATATTATACAAGAAGATAGGACTTGTGCATTTGTAATAGACTAAGCTAAAACAAAATTTCTCTTTTTTCTGTAAGTCTTATTCCTGACTGCAGCCTGTTATCTTGCAGCAATAGGTCCCCTCACCTTTGGAAAACAAAATCTGTTTGAAGTGATTTCCAGTAGATGAAGTTGTTCATGCTTCAGATAAATATATGAATTTCTAGCTCTGTCTCTCACAAGGTCAACACTGCAGAAGCTGCTTGGGTTCTTACCGGGGTAAGTTCAATGAAGCTTCGCTGTAGGGTTTCTGAACATGTGTATTGAAGCTTAGTTTGCTTAACCTTTCTCCTTACGGGTAGTCTTCCTTTGATACTGAGTCAGAGGATGTTGCTCCCAAGTTCTATCTGAATCTCTTTAACTGTTTTGGAAATCTACTGGATGCCTGACCTGCTGCTCTGACTGAGCTTGTAGAGGTCTTTCAGCTGGAAACCTGTCAGAATCTCCCAAAGCAGCAGCCTGACTAATCTACTCCTTCAGACAAAAGTATAAACAACTATCAAATTTTCTAAGAGGGAAGAGCTGACTTGTAAGGGAATTAGAAAGGCAGTGAAATGATGAGGAAGAAAGGATTTAAATTCTCAGTTTCTCTGTCTGCTTTTTTTTTTATTATTTTATTTTTTTCCTCTTTTTTTACCCTAGATTGATATTAGAATGTCTGAATGTGGGAAGAAAACTGCAAAGCCCTTGCTTGCATCAAAGAGAAACAGATCAGCCAAGGCTGGACTGCAGTTCCCTGTGAGTCGAGTTTACAGGTTCCTTAAAAGAGGGAACTATTCTAAGAGAGTTAGTCCTAGTGCTGCCATCTACCTGGCTGCAGTGCTGCAGTATCTGAGCAGAAAGATCCTGGAGGCGGCAGGGAAGACTGCAAAGGAAAACAAACACAGGATCCTGCCCAAGCACATCCTGCTGGTCGTGAGAAATGACGAAAACCTGAACAAGCTCTTCTCTGGTGTGACCATTGCTCAAGGAGGGGTGTTACCTAATCTTCCGCCTGAACTTCTTCGTACTAAGTCCTCCTCATAGAAATCATCCCACAGATATGGCAAATCACAGCAGTTCTAGCTGCTGCCAGGCTCCTGACCTTGTGGTGGTGTTAATGTTGAATTTCTCCACAGCTCAGAGTCACTTGTGCTGGTTGGCATTTTTTTGTGTAAGCTTATGCCTGTGTCTACCTCTGTGCATGTCTGAAGAGCCACTAAAGACAGAGTTGTTAGTTAAGTTTCCCTTGCTACATCCTCCAAAAGCTTGAATAAATAAGTGTGCAAAGGACTGATGTCTGTCTTATTCCCTTCTAGAAAATACTTGCTGTATCAAAAAGAATATTTTCTTTGGCAGTGCAGTTATCTAAGGAAACCTAATTTATGGTCTTTAAAGCTTGTATCTCTATGTATATGGCTGGAATCTCCTTATTCAGTGTGTGTAGAAGTCTGGTTCATCTGAGCACTTCAGATCTCTTCATGGACAGTTAACTGTTCAGTCTAAATAGGTGATCTGCCTGAGAAACTTAAGCTGGACTGAATTATAATGATGGTACAGCTATGAATTATCTTCCCTAACATTTGGATAGGGGGATAGGGCTGTACTATAACCTTAGAGTGTTGATGCACACACCTTGGTCCAATGATGGTGTTGGAACTGTCCTCTGAGTTTCTGTATTGATGGAACACAATCCAAGGAGCCTTCTACAGACAGTATATAAATCTTGTCAGTGCATGACTGTTAAAGATCTTCTAGAAATTTATCTTAAGAATGGATCCAAACATAATTTCTATCTCCCTGGTACTGAGAATCTCCTTAGCTGCTTAGAGGCTTGTTCTGTTAAGATCCAGATTGAGGAAACCCGTGCATTAAAAGGCAATCTGGGAAGTAGCCTTTTCCAGGACCTTGCAAAACTCACATCTTTCACTTACGGAGCCTTAAAGGCTATCTAGGCACTACTGGATTTGCACTCTGGATTGCAACTTTATGGTGGACACACACTAGTGTTAATGTTTGCTGTGCTGCAAAAGATTTTGTTCAACAGCTTCATCAGCAGGATGCCACTCAAATTTAAGAGCCTTTTAACTGTTCTATTAGGTGTTTGAATAATTCTATTTGTAACATGGAGCAGGAAGGTGTTAGTGTCTAGCAGCTTCAGATATATTAATTCAGCCAAGTAAAAAGACTCTCTGGCAAACTGCCTTAAGTCTGACACTGCCTTCCAAAGGTTTTGGGAACCTCTGTTCTCCATATCTGCCCTATAATAATCCATATTATGATGCTGCTTTCTCTGGTTTAATTCAAATTATCTACCTGGTTTTGTGAGAATCGAGACCTTTTTGAAGAATGAGCTGCAGAGGTCTCATCCCTTTATATAGGCGCGCTAGGGATTTAAATGAAGGGCCAGAAGCTGGGAATTGAGGTGGTGCGGAACTGCAGCCAGAGACCTTTCTGTATGTGAAATCTCAAGTATGTGTGTGAGCTGCAAGCACCTACTAGAGGCTAGTGTATGAGAAGACAAAGGGAGGAGAGTCTGGTATCCTGCATAACTGGCTCCTGTAAGAACTGGAGGTAAGTGGTTTGTAGTGTGTAGAAAAATGTTGTTGTGAGGCCAGCCATAAGATCAGCCATCGCTATTTCTGTAAATGTGGCAACCATTGCCTAGAGATTGAAATGCTGGCCTGTTTGTGAACCAAACCCTCTGTCTTGGAAAGCAACAGCAGCTCCTTAAGGGGGCTGCTGGTTGTTTTTCTGTGGCAGTTTCAGTCAACATCGACCATATGAGCTGCGCTTGGAGAAAAACAATTCCCCGTTTCCCTGTCAGGCTGATGGTTATGTTTCATGCTGTGTTGGCTCAGAGGCTTGCTTCCAGCCTGTCCAAGCCAGCTGCCCACAGCATGAGTGCCTGTGTAATTGCGTGAGCTTCTGCAGCTCCTGCCATGCTACTCCACTCCTTCTGCTGTGCCAACACAGCTGCTCATGGCATTTACTGCTGCTGGGCTCATGTGTTAAACACCTTTTTATTTTTTCCTTTTGCTCCCTAATACAAACCCCCACCATTCGCAGTGGTGTTGGTACAGCTTGAAAGTTTCTATGGGGGCAGGAAGAGGAAACCAAAAGTGGGGTGATGGGTAGAGCTGCTGAGGGAGAAGGTGGTTTTGATGCCCCCATGATGTGGGCTGTGATTTTGAAGCCCCATGGGAATTTTGAAAGTCACTGGAGTGAAGCTGTATCACATCAGGTACGTGAGCTGAGACATGACCCATGGAACAGGAGGTTTCAGCAAACTGCTGTGACTGTGGAAATCCTATCCCACACAAAAAACAAACAAACAAAAACAACAAAGAAACCAAAAAACAAGGGAGGGGAGGAAGGAGGATCAATGGAAACTTTTCTCCAAGTCTCAGCTTTTCTGCAGGAGAAGCAAAGCTTGATTCTGGCTTGTATAAAAGAATGACCTCATCTCAAGGAGCTGTATGGCCTGTGCTGGGACAAGCTAGCCAAGAGGTCCTGCTGCTGCCCAGGGTACAGGACTCAGCCTGAGTGAGACCTGCTCAGAGGGGAAAAAAGCCATTGGGGTGGTGCTGGTTGGTCTCCCTGTCTTTGTTGCCAAGAAACCGCTTAACTGTATCTTAAACTAAACTCGCCTAGCTTTACCAGAAAGTTTACTTAGGCTTAAGTGTGATCACGGGGTGGCTGGCAAGCTCGAGGCAACCCGTTGCTTCAGAAGTAGCAAGCTTGGGAATCACAGAAAGTCAGGGGTTGGAAGGGACCTCAAAAGATCATCTAGTTCAACTCCCCTGCCAGAGCAGTATTCCCTAGGGCAGCCACACAGGAACGCGTCCAGGCGGGTTTTGAAAGTCTCCAGAGAAGGAGCCTCCACAACCTCTCTGGGCAGCCTGTGCCAGTGCTCTGTCACCCTCACAGTAAAGAAGTTTCTCCTCATGTTGAGGTGGAACTTCCTATGTTCTAGCTTAAACCCATTATTTCTTGTTCTGTTACTGGGTACCATTGAGAAGAGATTGTCTTCTTCCCCTTGACACCCACTCCTCAGATATTTATATATGTTAATAAGGTCCTCTCTCAGCCGTCTCCTTTCAAGGCAAGGGAAGATGTGGTCTGTCACAGCAGAGTGCCTGATAGTTTCTCTAGCGTCTGCAGGTCTCACCTGATAAACTGCAAGGGGAAAGGAGGCGTCACCTTCAGCAGTGGCTCATCCCCATTTTCTTGGCAAAACTCAACAGAATGAAGTGGAGGAATACTGGAACAAGGAGAGGGCACTGATGGGTCCAGGGAGAGCCATA